AAACAACGAAGTGAAGTCCACATGAAGTTTACATCATAATACAAGGCATTTGGTTTTTTTTAACATTTTTCACAGAGTTCATACTAATGGCTAGCTTTTTCATTGTATAAGTACAACTATATTCGTTCAACTCTTAATGTTCTATCTCCTGGCTGTTCTGTGGTAGTTGCGTGATATTTTATTTGTATTATTAATTTATTGGAATTTTTATTGTATGATTAAGTCGTCTTAATATATGTACGGCAATCCAGTACTGGGAATACCGTTTTTTGACGACGTAGTGTATTACTTCCCTTGGTGTAGGTCAAGCATGAAATTCGTGTCAATCCTGGAAAAATAAGAAATGCGAAATGTCATCCAACTAAAACACATTATTTACCAGTATAGAAAAAAATTATTAAAATGCACTTACAAAAAACGTAAATTAAACTTATTTGTTAGTTAACGTTAAACCATGTAAAGAATGTGGTCACATAATTTGTGTTACCGCTTTATTTATGGAACACTTCAGTGTATTGACGTTCTGTAATAATTATTCATTTTTTTCAAAACTGCTGAAAGTTTCATGAAAAGTCACTAATTTTATTTTTATCGATTTTTTAAATATGCAACAGAAGATTCGATATAAACAACTCTTGATATTAATCAGTTACGTAAACGTCAATTGACAAGCTAATCATTACATAATCACATGCTTAATTGTAAAATGTGTCGTATCAAGATTTAATTTTATTAATGAAACAATTTACTAATCATATAAAAAGATATCCTAAACGACTACGTAACTTCCATATCTACAGTAGTGCTAATATTCGTCGCTGCCTTCGAATATCGAAAGCTTGTTGTTAGATCTATTACAAGTTATAAAATACCTTTCAAAATGTTCTACAACGAAGAAATATGTGCCCATAATTATGAAAGTGGTCTAAGTCATATATTTCTTGTTTCGAGATATTTAATGAATTGCATTTGAATAAATTAAAAAATATATTTAACCTTCCACTGTGCACTTTATATCATAGCAATTCGAATTATTAGAAATGCGACGTTGAGCGACTCATTGTGCGCAGGNTCAGAGTGTGAATTGACTTAGACCATTTTCAAAATTAACTGAATGTCCTATAAATGACATAAAGCAATAAAAAACTACGAGTTTTATTAGAAACGATAATTTTAATTAAATAATTCATGAACATTTATAACGTGGCTCAATTAGCGCGCTGAACCGTTTAGACAGAAGTCCTCGTTTCCGAGATGGGCTACGTTGGGGGCCGGCTCGCACCGATCGCGATGGCCAAGGATGGCACCTGTAGGGCCCCACCGGGCCTGTCGGCGTATTCCACGCCGAAGATGATCCTGGTGTCCTGGTTCCGAATTATGGTCCCGGGAGACCTGGGGCTCAATTTATGCCGTAACACCAGGTGTCCCTCCGTCGAGTCGTCGCCCTGGATGTCTTCGTTGGTTCCCGAGGCGCCACTCGGCCGTGGTCGTCTTGGTGCTTCTTGGCCCGGTCGCCGCGAACGGGCTCCTCGGGGATAGAGAGACGACGGTCTCGACGATGTCGGCTGCTCCCAGGACGTCGCAGGTAGGTTCCTGACCGGAAAGTCGAGGCCCTCCCAGCGGGCGGACCTCCTCACGCCGTCAGGACGAACTGAGGTCCTCCCTCCACGGGTCCAGCATCCGGCAGCCTCCGTAGGTCTAACCCTTGAACGTTCCTCTTGACCCTGATGGTGAAGGGTGTCATTCCTTGGTGCGGCTGTTGTAGGTGATCTCGGAGGACACCTTGTAGGTAGGTCGGTGAAGTGCCGCGCTATCGCCGTTCCCGCCGATGTCTCGACGACCCTGGTTGTTTGGGACCATCATAAGTATTCGGTGCCGTTCACGGGCGTTCACGGGCGGACCTCCTCTCGCCGTCAGGACGAACTGAGGTCCTCCCTCCACGGGTCCAGCATCTGGCAGCCTCCGTAGGTCTAACCCTTGAACCTCTTCCTCTTGACCCTCTGGTGTCCTCTTGACCCTGATGGTGAAGGGTGTCATTCCTTGGTGCGGCTGTTGTAGGTGATCTCGGAGGGCACCTTGTAGGTAGGTCGGAGAAGTGCCGCACTATCGCCGTCCCCGCCGATGTCTCGACGACCCTGGTTGTTTGGGACCATCATAAGTATTCGGTGCCGTTCACGGGCGTTCACGGGCGGACCTCCTCACGCCGTCAAGACGAACTGAGATCCTCCTTCCACGGGTCCGGCATCCGGCAGCCTCCATAGGTCTAACCCTTGAACGTTCCTCTTAACGGCGTTCACCACCAAAGTGGGGACGATGACTTCCACCGCTAGATGGCATTAGCATCGAATTCGGTGGGAGATAACCAAAACGTACTTTCTCGCTCGGATGAGGGAGACGCGACGCATAATGGGCAGTGTTTAGGAACGGGCGAAAAATGTGTGTGTATTTTGCACGTATAGGACTCACACAACGGCTAGACGCCTCTGGACTAGGCGCCGAAACGTGTGTGACCCTCGGCCACAAGCACACGCAAGGTGGACGCTCCGCCTAGAGTCGGCAACGGTTGCTAAGGAATGCCCAAATTCCTCGCGAGAAACTCGAAAATCCTGAAAAAGGTGCTCCACGGGGACAACGATTTTGAGCGTATTTCTCAACCGATCGAGCTCAACGAGTGCTCGTTTTAAAGATAAAACGTTGACGTGTGTTTATATGGGAGCGATTTTCGATCAAACACCTCCTTCCTAGTTAAAAGGGCATTAAAATTATGTCGTTGCACTTTTTTACATGAAAATGACCACTTATCGAAAATCTCTCCCATATAAACACGGGTCAACGTTTCATCTTCGATATGAACACTCGTTAAGCTCGATCGGTTTAGAAATACGTTCGGAATCGTTGTCCCCGTGAGGCCCTGCAAAATCGCTGGAGTGGTGAGCGCCCTTAACCCTGATGGTGAAGGGTGTCATTCCTTGGTGCGGCTGTTGTAGGTGATCTCGGAGGATACCTTGTAGGTAGGTCTGTGAAGTGCCGCACTATCGCCGTCCCCGCCGATGTCTCGACGACCCTGGTTGTTTGGGACCGTCATAAGTATTCGGTGCCGTTCACGTATGCTTTTAAATCGGTGCCGTCTGCGCATGCCTTTAAATGTATTTGGCGCGAAACTCTATCGAGTTTCCTGATCTAGCCTTCTGTTGACCGTAGGTGATCGATTTCATCAATGTTGTGCGCAGAAATATCCAATCTTTTAAAGAGATGAAAAACCGTAGGTAATCAAAGCTATTAATACCTTAGCAAGATTGTATTTGATTACAATTATAACTAAAAAAATTAAGTTTTCCGAATATTGAATATTGAATCCACCATTTTGGTAAACAAACAATATGTTGCAATTGTTTGAGCGGATGCTGATGTCGACAATATTGAATACAATATATAAAAAATTAAATATAAGCTATTTTAAATGATAAATGGAAAATAAATTAAAAAATATATTTATATTATGCAACATTTTAATTTCGAGTTTTATTAGTCTTGATTAATGGAAATTTATTATGAATATGAAATTTTTGGTGAATTTCATAGGAAAATGTTTTTAGAGTGTGAATTGACTTAGACCATTTTCAAAATTAACTGAATGTCCTATAAATGACTTAAAGCAATAAAAAACTACGAGTTTTATTAGAAANTAAGTTATAACAGGAACAGTGTAGCTTTGTGTACTGTAAAAATGATAATTAATATGTGACTACATTCTATTTTATATTTTCCATTATATCGCGTTGTCCGTTTTTACATGTACCTTATAAACGTCAATGCAATATGTTGTTTTCAACGAAAACAGTTTTTGCCGAACGAGGTTATACATTTCTCCAGTTGTGCGTTAACGTTTGATGTCTAAAATCGGAACACACCTGCGCGCGCACGTATCGTACTATAGCTGTTATGTCGTTGCCATGACGACGTATTGTAAACAGTTCCAAGCCGCCTGCTGCTGTAGTTGACAGCTTGCTGCCGGTTTACTGTCTTGTAACACATGTAACTTCTGTATAATTAAAAAAGTAGTATTAGTCAAACAGTTTAACCAAATTTTTATGCAGATTTGCAGTCTGTAGTGAAAATTAAGCGGGACTTATATTAAGGTAACAATTAGTCCTATAGTAATCAATCATAAAACCATTGCATTGGTTAATTCCATGAAGAAAAGTTGCTCTAAAAAATGTGTAAAAAATTCGGTAAAATTTAAGAATATGGGGCTCGCCTAAAATCAAGTCAAAATTAATTCCCTTGGTTCTCAAATGAAATAAAAATGCCTAAACCAAAGAAAAAACTCAGCGCTCACCTCTTGAAATAAAGTTATTTGCCTTTGAAATTGAGACGGTAACGACTGTTAAACACGTCGTTACTGTCTCAATTTCGTCGTCAGAAAAATCTTCTTTATCAACGTCGATCAAGTTCCTCGACGTGTTTCACTTCACCTTAATCCTTCGTGCTCATACTGATGGATTGTCTACTGGAATGTCGTCCATTTCAATGATGACATTTGATGAAAATTTCACCGCCACCATAGCAAAAATAAATGACACAACGAAACTTTCTGAGCAACATGTTCTTTCTTCTTCAGTCAGTATACAGTATTCGCAAACGTGTTATATGTGCCCATAATTATGAAAGTGGTCTAAGTCAAAATTAAAAAAAAAAAAATGAGTTTATCAGTTATTTCACGCCATATTATTTCAAACGAAATTAATTCAATGTAATTTCCAAACAAAAAATATATGACTTAGACCACTTTCATAATTATGGGCACATATGACATTGGAATATTTCTTCAAGAATGGCGAAAGAATGTGATCGCGACGATGTCCATGCCTGTCAATGTATTAAACAAGTTCTTTTGTATTGTTTAATAAATTAAATGTCATACAAAATAATGAGCATAAACATATCATTTATAAATATGTTGTATTGCTTACGTTTTTAGGAACAGTTGGCGGTGAACAATGTCAATGATATTTAATGCATCGGAAGTTAGTTCAGAAGATATCGCAAGAATGATGGAAGACATGGATGAATTAGACAGTAGTTTATTTAACACATCAATGAAGAAACAGCAGACCCATTATGTATCGAAGAATAAAAATACACGACGACCAAACAATGAATCCAAGAGAAATGTTTCATTAGAAGGTTTGCACATTCACTACGTTTATGTTAATTTAAAATCATATCAAGGTTAATACTGTCCCATCAGCACTTTATGCTCGAACTCTTTTAAGCCGATAATAAAGTTATCATCTTAAGGTGAAGTGAAACACCCTTCAAATCAGTCGATTTGAATACAACACTTTTTTTTAAGGGTATTGGACCAAACTGTCCGAAACTTTGATACATGACTTATGATCATCTAAAAAGTAAAAGAAAAAGTGTAGGAAATGATAATCACACGATGTGAAATCTCTTCTAAGGGAGGAATGGATGCAACGTAATATTACGTATTAAAATTAATTAAATAAGATCGACCATTAAATCGGGATGGTCAGTAAATTAAATTGCCGGAAAGATTATGATTCTCGAGGGAAAAAAGAAAAATAATAAGTGAACAAATTGCCTTACTTTCGGTGTTCCGTTTGGTGTCACTCCTATTACGTCAGCGAAACGTGGAGAAATCGACACGAAATTAAGTCTAAGAAGGTGCTACAGATCATTGTACCTCAATGAATGATTAGAAAAGAATCTCGAAACTGTAATGTTACAGTTTATGTGCTTTCTTATCCGTTCAGAGATATTGTCAGTTACCGGAGAAATAGAGGACGATGCTGAAGCGTTTTCTGAATTCATGACACTTATATTAAAATAAGCGCGCGGTAAAACCTTGATCAATGCCCCAACTTAATTAGTGCTACAACTCTCGTACTATTACGGTCTATGGCATAACATATTTTATGTAACGTAAGCATGGTTTACACGCCTTTTCGCGACTATCTTTGGTATTTTAAGTTAGCCTTTCTGCGACGGTGAACGCGGTTACACGAACGGTGGGAGGCAATACAGAAAAGAGCTTTAAGGTGAAGTGAAACCCTCTTCGAATCAGTCGATTCGAATACAACACTTTTTTTTTAAGGGTATTGGACCAAACTGTCCGAAACTTTGACACAGGAAGTGATCATCTAAGAATTGTCCTGACACATTTAAAATTTAGATTTTTGCATAAAATTTTTTAACTTAGCCCAGACCAGAACTAAAATGGCATCGAGCTCTCACATTTCAATCAATATACAATTATCGAAGGCTCTGATATGAGAATCGAAAGGACTAGGACAATTTTGCGATAATTTAGAACACTCTGGTAATCGATAAACTCGCATTTGAACGGGATAAAAGCAAAAAAAAGTGTCGTATGCGCTTCTATGCCAAAACGATGGTAATACGAGGTCTCTATCGGTTTATAGTCCACCCTTTTCCGCATTCCAGATATCAACGAAGATGATTCTCTCGCTGATTTATTATCAGAAGAGGAAGATTTCCACAAAAATTCGAAATCGTCTACAATGAAATCGGAAGGAAACTTCGTGGCAAATTTATTCGGGATAAAAACGAACTCCATTCCATCAAATGTTGCATTAGGCATGAAACATTTTCAGAATCAAACAAGCTCGAACACTCTGAGCCAAGGAAATATCTTAATAAAAGATACACCACTTACCAAAAAACAAGAGATCAAAGAATCTGAATTAAGTAAAGGGGATCGAATTCATGACGAAGTTATTACACCAAAATTTGTTCAACATGGTCAGAATGTCTTCAATAATGACGAAGATGTAATTACAAAATTTGCTGACAAACCACCTACTGAAGAGAAATTACGAAAATTTGCACTAATGGAAGATTTATTTAGCAACAGACAACGATTTCCCGTTGAAGAGAAAAGTAATGTGCTTGAAGAATCTGCAAAATTTGGCCAAGAAGCAGCTGGCCACCAACAAGGTCAAATTGCTACTGAAACGTTATCGAAAATAATCACTCCTGGTTATGCACCAACATCTTCCGTACATCGGGAATCTAGAAGGGGCAAGAGAGACTCAATTGTTTTGAATGACCCTCTTGGATTACTGGCTTCATCTTCCTTACACACGGCAGGACACTCACCAGATGATAATGTGGTAAATAATGTTCGTCCATAGCATTAAGACATTATTGACGCTAGCGGAAGTAAATTTCTTTTCTTTTCGTTTATGTATATTTAAGGTGAAGTGAAACCCCCTTCAAATCAGTCGATTCGAATACAACACTTTTTTTTAAGGGTATTAGACTAAACTGTCCGAAACTTTGACACGTCACTCCTGAACATCTAAGAATTGTCCTGACACATTCAAATTTTGGATTTTTGGAAAAAATTATGTAACTTAGCCCAGACTAGAACCAAAATGGCGTCGACCTCTCATATTTCGATCAATATACAATTATCGAAGGCTCTGATATGAGAATCGAAAGGGTCAGGACAATTGTACGACAATTTAGAACACTCTGATAATCGATACACTCGCATTTGAACGGGATAAAGACGAAAAAAGTGTTGTATGCGCTTCTATACTAAAACGATGGGAATACGAGGTCTCGGAGTAAAAATTTAATTAACCTGGAAATCACAGATGGCGCAGGGGGTCCCTCTGCAGTCAATTAGGGCCCCAGCCAGCATGAATTCAGAGGATTTCTGAAATTTTACTTCGATTTATTGATATTTATTGTACGAAAATGACAGGTGGAGTATGCCATTTGGTACAATATCCAATATAATTCGACCCAGCTGTCAATATAAAAACGAACGTCGGCAACGTAGGCATTTAGGAAAATCATCTTTGTCGACGTCGATCAAGTTCCTCGACGTGTTTCACTTCACCTTAACGCCACATGAACTTCGAAGTTATTAGTAGATTAATAGATTGTTCGGTATAGTGATACTTTGAGCTTCTACATATTGGTGTGAAGGTTGATTTCGTGGAGGTACTGCACGGAGAGAAAAAAGTTGTTATAATTACTAGAATTGTGATAGACGTAATGCATGTATTAGTGACTAATAAATACAGACTGTCAAACTGTTTAAGGTGAAGTGAAACCCCCTTCAAATCAGTCGATTCGAATACAACACTTTTTTTTAAGCGTATTAGACTAAACTGTCCGAAACTTTGACACGTCACTCCTGATCATCTAAGAATTGTCCTGTCATATTCAAAATTTTGATTTTTTTTTAATTTTGTAACTCAGCCCAGACCAGAATCAAAATGGCATCGAGCTCTCATATTTCGATCAATGTACAATTATCGAAGGCTCTGATATGAGCATCGAAAGGGTCAGGACAATTTTACGACAATTTAGAACACTCTGGTAATCCATAAACTCGCATTTGAACGGGATAAAGGCAAAAAAAGTGTTGTATGCGCTTTTATGCTAAAACGATGGGAATACGAGGTCTCGGAGTGAAAATTTAATTGACCTGGAAATCACAGATGGCGCAGGGGGTCCCTCTGCAGTCAATTAGGGCCCCAGAAAGCATGAATTCAGAGGATTTCTGGAGTTTTACTTCGATTTCTTTATAATTATTGTACGAAAACGGCAGGTGGAGTATGCCATTTGGTACAATATCCAATATAATTCGACCCAGCTGTCAATATAAAAACCAACGTCGGCAACGAAGGTATTTAGAAAAATCATCTTTATCGACGTCGATCAAGTTCCTCGACGTGTTTCACTTCACCTTAAAGTAGATGTCTATTTTGTTGTTCGTGACGTTCATGGTAATCCTATATTAATACTTAGCGATCCTCTGTATTTACTAGAAGCGAGGATTTTAAGTTAATAATTACTTCTACCAGGCTGGTTTGAAGGGAAAATCTGCTTCATTGCCGAAACCATCAGGAAATAGTATACACCTGCCTAAGGAATTACCAAAGTGGTTAGATGGTTCAACAAATGAAGAGAATGACATGAAAGTGAAGTCCGAAAAGGTGTGCGAAACGAAGATCTCGGAGAATATGCCAAGTGAAGCTACATCGCAAGAGGCCCCTAACGTTGAAGCATCACAGCAACTTTTAACTTCACTTAACAATGTCTTGCAAACTCCTTCATACCCTCCCGGTATTTCGAGGTTAATTGGGGAACAAGTTAATCAACAAGTAGCGATAACATCAATGCAGCAAGAGGACCATGAACTACAAACAGCGACAGCATTATCTAATCAACACCAACAATTAAACCGTCTATTACAGCATCAAAAAGTAGTTCTTATAGAACAAGAGAAACAGTTTAACGTCCTTATTCAACAACAGATAGAACAACAAGCTTTGTTCGACACTCAGTTAAAGGCACAGCAAAATCGCATCAGGAACCATATTCAGGTAAAGAGTGTTATACACTTTATTTTTCTGAGGTCCTTGTGTGTTTTTTAGCTTTCGGAGTAATAACGAACATTTCTTGCATTTCACGACATTTTGTAGAGCGTTGTTAAATAATACATTCCATAACGAACCCAGTGAACACTGTTATATAACTGTTGGGTAAATGTTACGTTTTCGAAACTAACATGTTATGTAGCATAAAAGTAACATGGAAGTTAGATGTTAGTTATTATTTCTCACTCGGTAAGGTAACGTGTTGTGTAACATGTTACATTAATGTTATATTAACCTTATAATATCAGTTACCTTAAAATAATATTAATTTTTCATCCATTTAATTATTTTTTGCTACTTGACAATAGTTAGATATTAAATGACAAATCAGACTTTCAATGAAATTATGTAACGATAAACTATTTGCTTTTACTTAAAGACAATTAGGATTTCATTCGACTAGCAAACAATGACTGATAGTGTATATGCGCGTATGAATTAAAGTCACATTTTTTCATACGAGTACATAGTAAACAAAATATGACATATATTATTCTTATGACATTTGACGATGAATTATAATGACGATGACGATGATATAATAAAATAGATGACAGCACCAATGCAGTTCCGTTTTGTTACAAATATGTGCTGCATATACACAGTACATTGTAACAAACATACATACATTGTAACAAATGTCATGTAACCAGTTAGTTCTATGTTACGTAACTGTTAGGTTATTATATTGTAACAAACGTTATGTTATTTGTTAGTTTTAAGTTGCGTAACTGTTTGGTTTTTACATTGTAACAAACGTTATGTTATTTGTTAGTTTTAAGTTACGTAACTGTTAAGTTTGGTGTTCAGTAGGACGCCTCTCACACGTTTTGTTCACGTTTGGCCCGATTGATATACCACGTGTCTCACACGATATTGTAGATGAAGGGGTTAGTTAAATTTGCGATGCACTTTTGATAATGCGCAAAAATCCAAAATCTCAAAGTAAATAAATTTGTTGACCTTATAAAAATGTTTTCTTATCGGTATCATTGAAATTAATCAAGGCGCTCATAGAACAGCCTACACCCTTACCAGTGGTGTTAATGTCGAACGAAATGGAAATATATAATAATACGAAAGGTGTTAGAGAACATTCCATGGATGCGCAGCCAGAGAATCTATTACAAAAACTGCAATCAGAAAAGATTTACTTGGAAAATATTTTGGAAAGTTTGGAAGAAAAACATGAGAAAGAAATATCTATTCTACAAGAATCGTGCAAGTAAGTCTTTATATTCACATTACATACATTTTATATTTATCCGAGAAAAAAGTAATGATATGCAGTACCCGACCTCACGAATAAGAAATACATTACAGTAATTTCTATTAAATTCTGAAGAAAAATATCCAACGTAACCTTACATCCGAAATGTAGTTTCAAAACTAGTAGATTAAAGTTAACCAATCACGAAGCAGGTAGTTGCCGAACAGTGCCAGTACAAATATCCCATTACTCGTATCATTTTGAAGTGAGTCTCAAATCTCCATGTCAAATACATTTTTTTTTTCTTATTTTAAGATCAAATTTTAGTAAATAATAAAAAATTCCCCAACTTTGGAGGGTAGTTTTACTCCTTCAAACCGTTTTGCCAGATCTATAAATAAAAATACGTGTCTCTTAGAGTATGTTCTTCTACAAAATATCAAAACTGAACGAAATAGGAGAGGTACATTTTGTCAATGTTCTTTGTTACTCAACTTTAATCCCGCGTCATAAACATCGGTTCTCGTTCAATCACCGAAGTTAAGCGTTCTTAACTTCACATGATCCTACAAATGTTTATTAGATGCTCACATATTATATTATTTATGCTGTCTGGTCATCACGAGGAATCAAATGTGTACATTTGCATGCATTTTTAAATGTAAGATAAACATAGATCGATATTTTTTAATTTGTTTCCTTTCCAATTCCTTTTTTAAAATTGGTAGGAAACAAGTTGCATTCCTTCAGGAAGCCATGGACAAATTGGAAACTCGAATGCGTCAAGAAATAAAACACATCGAGGTTGATTACGAGACGAAAATGGAAAAAATGATAGAGCATCGACGAAATGCTGAAATGTTTTACATGGAAAAAGTTGAAGCTCTAAAGGCAAGTACAAAAGGCTTTTTAAATTAAAGGAAATGCAATCCAAAGTAATCACTATGGTTGCATGTAATTATTCGAAGTCATTAAGGTGATGTGAAAGGCGAGTTTAAACCATCAGTTACATGGATATATTTTTTANCCATATAATCTAATTCATATGAAATATCATAATCTAATTCATGTGAAATTTTAACACGAGATTATGAAGGTGCTGGGTTCGTCCCGCACTAAAAAATTCATTTCTCGAAAAAATGTTTTATTTAATATAGATCAGGACCAAGGCATATCTTTTTTTCTATTGTTGATTGTTAGAAGGTTCTACCATATTGTTTGAGAATGTCACGAATCATGCTCAATCATTTAAAATATGATTACCAGAGACAGTTACATATTTCCACCCGAAAAAGGGGCAAAAAAATCATTCATAAATCTGAGGTGTACGACGTCAGTAATTCGGGCACTGTAATTACTCTTAGAACAAACTAGGAGCAAACAACAGATAAAATAGCGCCATAGTATCGATTAAATACTGTAAACAATGAAAACAGCTTCTCTTACTGTACCTAACCTCGATCAGGTTCTTCCGGCGGATATGGCTTCTGAGCACTTGAAATATCTGACATCATCTTTCCCAACTTACAGTGACATTGATACTGAAAACGGAAAGGCGATAATTTCATCCTATAAGCACTGCGGTGGACTTGAAATCTGTACATGCATTTTTTTTACCAATGTAGAACATTTAGCCCTTTTGAAAGAAGTTCCACGATACTAATGAACCGTGTTTCACTCTCGACAACGGTGTGAAACATTTCCCTGCTTACCTCTAATGCATATCATGATCTATGTTACATTATTCTTTCAGAAGGAGCACGATAATCATCTTAATGATGTCCATGATCATTACAAGAAAAATATTGAATTTCTACATAAAGGTTACACTGAAATGATAGAAAAGATAACCGAGTTGAAGAAACTGGAACATCGAACCATGGACTATTTCTCGAAGAACAGCGTTGACCTTGGGAACGTACTTCAAAAAGTTGAATTTATTGTCGATGAAGTACATAAATTGCAGCAGAAGTTAGATCACGAAGAGAACAAATTCGTTAAAAATAGGATTACTTCTTTGAGCAAGGAAGAAGAAAATTTAGATAGTAAGTATGATGTTTGATTTTGAAATAACCAAGAAACTGTAGAGTTTCATGCGAACTATTGTAACAGTCGACTCAGTGAGGCGATCATTTCTTACGTCTCAACGAAACCATTTAGAAAGATAAAAATACGTTATCTTATAATGTACTTTATCACATTTCAATTTTATGTTTATTATAGTGCTAAAGAAACAGCTCAAAACGCAAAAGGATGACCTTGAAATCTGTCGAAAAGAACTAGGAGAGGCAGCGCGAAGACTAGAGTTCAATGCTACATATTTGATGGACGAATTCAAGAAGAGAAGTTCTGCATACAGCAGCTCCGAAGAAACACTGAAGACAAGGGAAGAAGCTTTGCTACGGGAGAAAGAATTGCGTCAAGAGCAAATGCAATGGGAGCGACATCATCTTCAGGTACACTCAAATTATTTGACATGAAAAATTGTTCTTTACGTATATTTAAGCTTTACCACAGCTAATATTATGGAGACTTGCGGGGATATGTGGAACTAGTGGAACAGCTGCTTAGTCTATCTTACAAAGAATATTATTTTGGTAGTCACCTTTGATTTCAACTCTTTTTTTTTGTGTTACGTGGCGGACGAGTAGTTAGCTGCATATGGGGATTGTATATTACTTCCTACTTTCTCGTACACTTTCGTAACTGGTTTAATTTCACGAGAAAAACAAGAGCAGCTAACAAGGAAACTTTTCCAATACGGAAATTCAAAAACTTTTAAAACTTTGGGGATATTTAGAGTCTATCTAGCTGAATTACAAACCATTTTTTTGGCGGAAAATCATTTTAAAGAGGTGAAATCATCCCCTTAAAATGACTCGACTTTCAGTTTTCAATTTATTTCTCGCAAACGATGAGAGATACGACAAAATGAATAAAAGATCATTCTCTGAATAAGAGTTATCACATGGTGCAATTAAAAATTAAAAAATACTCATCAAATAGAATTGCATGATTTTTTAAGGTCCATAGTAACTTAATATACTCACGAACGCAATCTATGAGCAAACAGCGGATTTAAGCTTATACACCTGGTAGTGCACTCTTGCAGCTGATTTACTATACTTTACTTTTACCTATATTGCAATACGTTTAATTTATTATCCACTGTTATTTTGTTGTTAAATATATGTATATATGATATTTATATTATACATAGTTAGAAGCAGCACTGAAGGTCGCACAGGAAGCAGCTGCTGATGCTGCCAAGGAAAAGGAGAGATGGCATTACCAAATCAACGAGTTAGAATCTCGCCGTCGTCAAATAGAAGAAAAGGAAAGTCATCTCGTGCTACGTGCCAAAGAACTTGAAAATCTAACCCAGGTGAGAATATCATTAAGTACTTTTGGCGATAAAGTTCCCGTGCATATACTGACCTTAAAGTGTGTGAAGGTTTTTATTTGAACTTTTTTCCCACACAGAGTATACAGTGAAACATTTGTAGTCGCGACCAATCATTTCAGCTACTAAATCTTTCTATCGCTTTATCTACTAAAGACAATTTATTGCAAGAAATCGATTTCGTGTAATTTCATCACATCAGCTCCAAATTCGTGAGACACCAGTCCACAGAACTGAAAAAGTTACATGTCTAATGACTACGGGGGAAATTTAGTGCAATTTTCTATATTGAATCTGGAATTTATATCGACCAATTTACTATTTTTCACGTGAACGAATATTAAAGACATTACAAGAATAGGACTGGACAAATACCAAAGACTTTAGCGAAAATCCAACATTTTAGGGGCCAGATATTCCGAAGTGACACATTGTCTATATCACAAAAATCACTGTTTCTGTTCTACATCAAGTTTTAGCAAAAAATATCCTTTCCGATAATTAATATTTCTATTAAATTTTCACAAACAATTACCCTTCCAAAAATTACTATTTCCATCGTACAATAAGTTTCTGCAAAAAAAAAAACTATTGGAATCATATCACAATACCACCTATGTACACTGGGAGACATCAATGCCCTCCCATCCTGCACAGGCGATGCCGTATCTGCAGGGGAGGCATTTATGTCCGCCATTGTACACTGGGAGACATCAATGCCCTCCCATCCTGCACAGGCGATGCCGTATCTGCAGGGGAGGCATTCATGTCAGCCATTGTACGTATGTACAATTGCTCCTTCAAAGGATTTTATGATTCAAATTTCTAGTCTGCTTTAGCGAAAAGGGTCGAAGGTTGTGGGGAAGGGGAAGTGTTGAATATATGAATAAAAATGTCACCCAAATGTGGGAGACGGGGTCACTACAAAGACCTACCCGTTATCCAGATTCGGGTAATGTCCCAGTCAGCTTGTTAAAATGTCTGATTAATACCGATGATGTAACACTTATGTACAATTGCTCCTTCAAAGAATTTTATGATTTAAATTTCTAGTCTGCTTTAGCGAAAAGGGTCGAAGGTCTCCAAGCTCTGAAAAATGCTCAGCATATTCAAGAACAACACGACAAGAAAATAGCTCAGCTTCAAATGCAGCTTGAAATTCTTGCCCAGAGGGAAACAGAATTTTCCATTGGAAATGTACTACCAAGGTAATCTATCTCTGTCCCTCTCTCTTCGAACATTTATTTTAAAGATATAAGAATATAACTCCACATATTCTTTATATTCATGATTTTGAATGATGAGAATGATGAGCGAAACGTGTCTTCTGCGTTTCAACCTCAGCGGATGCTACTCAGTACTTAACGTCAAGTATCCAAATTTCAGGAGTGGGAGGGAAATGGAAATCTGCCCTCTTTATTACTATAGAAAAAGAAATTAATGTTTGACCAACTCAAAAAATCAAGAAAGAATTAGGAATTTTTTTTTAATTTACCCAATGCCGATCGCTAGTATGTACACGAAGATATGGCAGTTTCAATTTTTACGTATGTACATACTAGCCCTACCCTCAGAATTGTTGTAGTTTATCGTTGTAGTTCGTCGTCGTCGACTCTTAAACCGAAAAGAATACAGGCGGTCCCATAATACAAAATTAATCTTTCAAGGGGTGAAAGAGGGTGGAACGTTGAACTAAATTCCTTTTTCAACTAAACTTTTTGAACTAAGTTCCTTTTTCATTTTTGGCTTTGAACATTTTTTTATCGGGTTATTAGCAATTACAGTTGATCAACGAGACGGCGAGCGGTCATCTAAATCCTAATTCTTGGATAAATTGGTCTTGGATTTTTCGAGTCAGAAGCAAAAAATAGTGTTACGTAGGCACCCTTTGTACCTCCAGACCTCAACATTGAGAATTCCCTAAATGAGATAACAGTGAATTATTGAGTAAGAGGCATCTCATATATTCGGAAAGAATTATAATATGCTCCAGTTATTGACTCTTTGGACTTTAATTTTGTTACAAATTATTAGTAGATAGATATATGTGTTACCGGTTTGGTCAGTATCAAGATGCAATAATAGTATGTTTCCGTTATCATTAAAGTTATGACTAAAATAAGCTCAAGTACTTGACATAGCCAAACACGGAAGTAAATAAAAGTGAAAATCACTTGTGACGGTATTAAAAGAAACTCATTATACTTTATATTGAACAACATACAGCTTAACACAATGTCTATATTGTAACAATATCGAGTACGGAAGTAATGTTTGAAAAGGGTTTATTTAGTAATGTGCGTTGCGCGAATTTATTATTTTAACTATTTATAGGAAATCATTGGCCTTAAAAGGGAATAAGGCAGAGAAACCAGGAAAGGATATAATAAATACTAATACTCAACGCACATTTACTGCCGAACAACCCGATGAAGTTGATTCAAGAAATGGACTTAGCACACATTTTCAGGTAAATACATTTTTGATCGCGTATATTCGTGAATATTATAGAAGTAGAGCTGTTACGTCCCGTCCTTCTTGATGGTAAAAACCCGGAAAAGATTGAAGAGATTATAGGAATATGGAAAAGAAAGGGAAGTTAAGATTCGGGATACCGTCAGATGGTCCTGGGACCAGCTTGTCTAATCTATTTGGACTAATTTTACTTGGGGTTCTGGGTTAGGATTGGCAAGTTGAGAAGCTGCCAGTCGAACTATATGACCGACAGCCGTTTGGATTCCGAGTAGGCCAATTCGATATGGGCCAAACGAATTAGGAGAAATTGGATCACTAATGTGGAAAAAGAAAATAATAAGCGGTTTGAATTCCTTAAGGGCGCTCACCACTCCAGCGATTTTGCAGGGCCTCACGGGGACAACGATTCCGAACGTATTTCTAAACCGATCGAGCTTAACAAGTGCTCATATCGNATTTCTGGAGTTTTGCCTCGATTTCTTGATAATTATTGTACGAAAACGACAGGTGGAGTATGCCATTTGGTACAATACCCAATATAATTCGATACAGCTATCAATGTAAAAACGAACGTCGACAACGTAGGCATTTAGAAAGATCTTCTTTATCGACATTGATCAAGTTCCTGGACGTGTTTCACTTCTTAAGGACACTCAAACGATTAAATGTTATGCAAAGAACAAGATAATGGATACAATATTAATTGGAACGTCTCGAAATCGGCTGAAAAATGTGTTATCTCTTGACAATCACCGTACTAATTAATATATATACAGAGTGTAATAAAACTCGTAGTCACGGTTTAGACAGCGCTATCCTCGTTGAAAAAAAAGTCAAACAGTCCTGTACTATTTTTTTTCTACAGTGTATAATTTTTCTATATTAACTAGTTGAAGCAATATGCTTCTTTAAATTAGAAACATTTATTTACTTAGCCTTTTGCCGTAGTCTTTTGAAATTTAAGAAAATCAATTATATTGCGAACTTGTTTATTGATCTGAATCCGCTACACAAGAAAATATAAGAATAAATTCGGTAAGTGAAAGATTATTTATCGACACTAGTTATTAGTAATGCAAATTAAACGATACACCTGATCGGATAATAAGTTTAGTATTACATTTTGGTATTATAAAAAAGTTGTTATAAAAATACTTACATTTTAGTATTATAAAAATAAAGATTTATTATCTTGGGATTGGTTCTTTTCGTTCAAAACCCATTGAATCAAGAAATTTCTTCGGGTCAGAATGTATACAAGAAAACTAATAAGATGAAATTAACCAAGTGACAGATTCTTTATCGATATATATATTGTCACTCATTAATGCTAAACTCTTTCGATGCTCACTCCTTCAACATTTTCCCTAATAGCGCAGCGACCTTTTCGCGATGATTTTGAAGTATGTCGTAGAATCTAGGGAAGAATTCATCAGCTTTTGATTGAAGAAATAGTTTCCTCCTCTGGAGCGATTCCAGCTTGTCTTTCATTTCTGTTAATTCTTGATTTTCCGCTACAATATCTGGCATAGACTCCTGCAGTTTCTTGATGTCATCGTCTAACGTTCTTATTTGATCTTTCAGTTTTATTTCTTCATTTCTCGCATTCATTTTAATATTATCAACTTCAGTTTTTCTTTCTTTAATAGAAGTAATTAACTCGTTATTTTCTTCCTCCAGCATTCGCTTTCTTTCCTTGAGACCCTCAAGTTCATCGTTAGCCTTTTTAATAGAAACTCTCTTTTCATCGATCCCATTGTTTAGGAGTTCTTTCAATTCGTTCATGGCATTCGCTTTAGAATTCAGTGAATCTAAAACATCAGGCCTGAGAATTCCTTCTTCAGGCATCTTCAGCTCTTCCAGATGTACATGTTCGATGCAATCGAGATTCAGAAAGATCTCTTTATTATACGCTAATACAGTTTTGCTGATGTTATTATTGATAGATGCAAGTTTTAAATCCAAAGTATACAGCTCCTTTTTAATCTCTGTCAAATGTTCCTCGAATCTACTAATATGACGCTTGATGTTCAAACATTCTTCGACTACTTTATCTCTCTCATTTGTGGACATCGGCTGATGAGCAATGCGTTTCTCGAGTTCTTCCTGCATAACCCTCTGTTTCTCAATTTCAGCAGCAAGTAATTCACACTCATTCTTCATCTGATTCTCTTCCTTGTCAATCTTCTCTATATACTCTTTCTTTGCTCTGATGTACGCCTGCTGCTTAACATCATCCTTTTGTAATGATTCCAGAACTTCGTCCAGCTCTACAATCTCCTTCTCTAAGTCCTGCTTCTTTTCATCCAGTGCTTGCAATTTAAACATCGTAGCTTCCACATTGCTACGCGCCGTTACCAGAACTTCTTCGCTGACTCCAAACCGATCGTTAAGTGTCCGCAAAAATTCTTCAATCAGAGCGGATTCTTCGTTATGTTTCTCATCGTTCCAGGCGCTATAACATCTTAACATACAGTGAAACAGGAGTCTGTTGATCTGACTTTCGTCATCGGTACCGGATTGGGGTAAATCCTTTAATTTGAATGCATCCGTCGCCAAATCTTTGGCCGTACAGAACTGAACTAACCAAAACAACCAATCCAATACTCGAGGCCAAGAGTGTATGGTGTTAACAGTTTTCAGCCAGGATTTGGCTATCACCCCAGGGTAGTGAAGCTTCTTAGCAATTTTCGGTAATTCCTCAACGTAATTCGACATTGTGAGATCATGCTTTATGTTCAGTGACATCAAAAGTTCGTTCGACACTTCGACGAACAATTTTAGGGTGATCGGTCGTAAACTACCATTACCGTTCAACGTCACTCCCTGACCACGATTGCGGAAATAAGATTCAATCTTGCTTAGCATTTGAGCCTGGGAAGATTTGTCAGGCAAAGGCCGTGTGTCCTTGCGAGGACCTTTACCACTGATTCCATTCGCTCTTTCAACTGAATGCGACCGACGACCACGCGTTGTTTTACTTGCTGTATGGCCATGGTGGATTCGACTTGGACCTGCCGATGGAGTAATTGGTGTCTGGGACTGAATAGCTGAAAAAGAAAGTTTCTTTCGTTAAAACTTCCTTCGTCTTTTTGGAGAAACGTAAAAATTATCGATCCATGGTTCATGTAATATTCAAACAATACATTTCCTCCTCGGCGTACCAAAACCCTTGCACGCAATTTCATGTATACAAAATAGAGACGGTAACACAATAAGGTTGATAAATTAAAAAAGAAGGTATTAATTTGATGTACGTTAATTCTTTCGAGAAGTCGTTGGACATTTGAACGAAAAACATAACTGTCCTTTTGGTCTATACTTATTCAACCGCATAGAATAAGAGAAACTTGAATGACTGTTTTCCAGTAACAATTTTTTTACTTGTCCTTCGACAATAATGGAATATTAACAAGAGAAAAAGTGCCTACATTTGTTCTATATCCAACACCACTGCTCTTCGTGTTTATATTGTACGAGTTACACTATACCCAGAGCAGTTATCACACTTTTTCAGCCATGTTGAAACTCCGACCGAGAATCTGATTTATTGGCATCGTCTAAATTTTATCAATGTTGAAAATTTTAACAATCATTTATTTTTATATGTAACTAAATTTATCACCTTTTTAAATGACCATGGTGCAATGTGGAAACAGCCATTCAATAGCATTTAATTGACTTCGACGAATACTGTAATTTGGAAAACGATATCTGTCGAATGCTAACACATTCGCGACCACTGACGTGAATTCCCATCTTTTCAAGTTCTATTCCTGGATGCCGCTGACGTGAATTCACGTCATTTTAAATTCTAATCCTGATTGCCGCTGACGTGAATCACGTCCATAACGATGCACTATACAAGTTTGCGGCAATCAGTTTCAGAATTTCATTATTTTCGCCAGTACTCAGTATTTGAAACGGAGAAAATTCGCCCGTCGCGAATGTATTAACAACACGCACTCTAAAACATAATGACAAATTTGGCAAGTGGTGTGATTAATTTTGTACAGCATATTCCAACGCTACATGCAATAATTAGACTTGAAATAACTTCCCTTTTATTTATGATTATATGACACCGACAGATATAACGAGGACAATTTCAACTGCGATAACAATTCATTTAAAATCGGTGCGTATTAGCTGACACTCTTTTGCACATGGGCATAGTATGCATAGAAGCGCTGTTCAAATCCCGAGTATTTAGTACGTAGTATAGCATGTAGTATATACAACATACTAAAGCAAATTCAAACACAGCCTCAGAAGGTAAAAAAAGAAAATTTGGTTACGTACATCAATTATATTATGAATTATGTATTTAATATTCAGTCCTGTCAGTCAAAGAAAATTGAACAACCATATCTTACTAACTTTGACTGTGTGCAAATTTTCCTTATAAACAAGTGTTCGGTGCCTCAAGAAAGGTTAAGAATCACTGACTGAGAAGACCCTATTAAAAATAAACTTAACAAACCTTTCAACATTGACTTGCGACTTGCAGCATCCACCGATAAAGCCCGATATTTCGGCCTCGGAATGAGAGAATTATCATCGAGAGAATTACTCTTGGCTCTAGAAAGCGTCCTCCTTAGGTCAGTTCGCGTGCTTTTCTCTTCGCGATCAAACGCGGATGAACTAACTCTGTTTATCGACGAACCTCGTCCGGTAGGATTATTCAGCATTTTGTGGCACCTTCAAATAAAATTACTTAAATTGCCCAACTCGCTTCTGATAAACTTTGAACAGACTTACCACAATAGCAGTCAGTTACAAAGATGCTAACAGTCAATTATTGCTTATGGCTCCAGAGTATTTACTAGTCTTTACCGCGCATCAGAGATGAGCACGCATTCTATTGTATGTACACTGGCGGACAAGAATGCCTTCCTCCTGTATATGGCGCCGCCAGGTGGTGGGGTCGGGTACCACGAAATGCAGCAGCGGCAAGTTTAAATCGGAGAGAAGGCTGTAGTGAATGTTTATAAGAAATTTGATGTTTGTAAATAAAATAAATGATAGGAAACGTAATAAAAGTTGATTCTGTAACGAATTTCATATATTTTATAAATTTTAATCCGTAACCGCCAACCGGAACGTAAAAATTATACGTTCAAGTCCGAATTGACAAAGGTTTATCAATTTATTAGTGAATCAGCTGGCAAACCCTTTGCATTCAAGTTTAAACAGTACTCGTAATATAACAAATTCCGTTAATTAATCTTTATTCCATCAGTTGAAATAGTAAAACTTGCATTGTCTCAATTTGCGGACGTGGGATACAACGCGCATACGTTCTATACA